CCGTCGCTGATTATAATTATTATAGTTGTTATTACCTGGCGCATAGTTATTATAACTATTTTCCCGCCACTGATTATGATTATGACAATTGTTATGTTGGGCGCATAATTATTTTCTCTATTTCGATCATTGCAATTCCTATTTTCTTTGATTGGCCTACTATTGTTCCTGTTATTATTCCACGGAAGGCGACTATTGTTGCCATTAAAGTTTTTATTATTATTATTATAACTATTGTAATTAGATGTGTAATTATTATGTTTTTTATGGTAATTTCTAGGGTCAGAATTACTGCACTGCACATTAGGTGATTGATCATCGTACGCAGGTCTTCCTTCATTTGTGTCCTCCATCACCGTTAGTCTCTTGCACGGTTCCGTTTCAGACCTATTGGGGTCTTTTATTCTTCTGTTTTTTACGTCTCTCCATAGCTTTTTGCACCCACTCGTAGAGTGCAGACAGTACTCCTGACAATATGAGCACCACTTAACATTCCGGTTGCCATCCCATTCGTCCGTATCACTCTTTCCCTCCGGCGCATTGCTGATTGACATGCCTATCCTTGGGTTTCTCTTACCAAAACAACTCTCCCGTGTTGCATATGTGCTGAAATTATTGGGTACCATTTGACGTAGACTTAACTCGTTGTCTACGTCTATAGCCGCTTTAATGGTCTCCTCCAGTGTTATAGGTTTTACCCCGGCCACGTTCAAACTGTATGGTGCTTTCAACCCATAGATAAACTATTTCGCTGATTCTCTATCTGCGGATTTCTTTAGGGCAGTTTTCTGAATATGGGACAGCTGTGGGTTGGCGTCAATAGTCATCATTATTCTATTATGCAGCCGTTGCGCCCGGCTGCAGTACTGAATAACTGACTTGCTGTTCAGCTGAATCAGTGACTTAAGTTGGGCTGGCTGTGTATCGATGCCTCCCATTCTCCCAAATCGCCGTGATAGAGCGGATAAAAATGGGTCTACGGTATTAAACAGCGATAACCGGGTGCCAAATTGATCTGCCACCATCCCCCTAAGTTTACCACCTAGTGTACCTATGAAGTATTTTTCGTATTGCGGCGGGACTGCTAGATTTTCTGTCCTCATCATCTGTTAAAAAAGCGGAAAGTTTATTGGATCTTCACTGAATAAAGGAATTCCACTCACCACGCTATAAATATGGGATAGTGCACTATAGTGCATGCTAACAGGGTACGTGTTTTCCGTTCACTGTTGACTTATGATGGGATTTATGTAAGTTGGATTTGGCTGCGCTTGATGTTGCTGCTCTCGCAAAATATATCCCCCGTTCATGATATTATCCCGAAACGGCCAGTTGTTGGTTGGCCTCTCACCTTTCATTTTTTGGTACTGTAGATTCGTAGCTGGGTCCAGCATCATGCATCTTCGCGCCCGAAAAACTTGGGATTCCTGTTTGTTGACCCCCATACATTTTTACTTCTTCCAACGTCCTTGACGTTAAGCCCTAATTGTTTTTATGGCCAAATACTAATTCTCGACCATTTTGTGTTAGTGTTTCCTCCGAAATTTGTGGCGCACATTGCTGTGCTGTTTGCTGCACCGCTTGTTTTTCTCTTCGTCTGAACGCATGTTGAAGTGTATTCTGTGTATCCTCACTGTCGAACCTATTTTTTGAGTGCAAGTTTACGTCTCTCGAAATTTTGCTCATCCCGTTTCCGGCTGTATAATCTGCATTCTTTAAGGGTGACATATTCGCTGCGTTGTTTCTTACGGTATTTGAATATTATGCGCTCACCCCTATAATGCATGACGTTGTTTGTGAGACTTTCTCTCGATTGACCCCTGGTTTCATTTTTTTAAAGAATTTTAACGTTAGCATACGCTGTTTATTGCCCATTTTTTCCCATTCCATTTGAGTTTCGGGGCTGTACTCATAAAATACAGTCAGGTTTTCTGACTCTGACTCATTTTCCGGATGCAAGGGGATTTCGTCCTCCATCATACTCATTACGTCACCTTGCGCTTCATTGAAGTTTTCCATTTTAGATTCTTTATAATTCTTTTTTTTTTCGTTTTCCTTTGTTTTCTGCATGTATGGGAACGCTTAAACACTTATAAATACATTTATGTACGATTCTTTGCATTCCTATTTCACGACGATGAACCCACTTTACTTTAACATTCATCGTGCGTCTAATTTATTATTTATTTATTTTTTATTTTCTCGCTTTCATCCTGATCAATTTTTTTCACGATCCAAAATCTTTCTGACACACGATAAACTACTCTAGAGCCACACTATCGATATTATGAGGAGGACAACGAACGCAAAATGAAGATAACAACAAAAATAAATTACAGTATAAATTCATTTGTTTATTTATAAATTACAAGTACTTACCATATGCTCCTGGCTAGAACGATGGCAACTAAAACCTTTACTATCCTTGTTTGCTTGATCCCCTATCGTGGTCCCAGGTATTCTTTCGCCTTGGTCCTTGATTTTAAGCTGCTTTTCTCCGTACTTCAGTAACTCCTTGTTTTGCCTATTCCTCTCGTAGCAGTTCCTTGTTCACTTTGTGGCACGACACTATGTGTGTTTTTCAAAAATCGCGAGAGTCGAACTTTACCGTCGACAAAAACCGAAAAAAATTTTATTCTTATTTAATCACGGTGACCATCCCACTTCTGACAATAAAACTGTTGCATAGGATTCTATGGTCTTGGGGTGCGCACAAAGTAAATTATCGAGGAACTAGTATCAACGTCTTTACTTATGCAAAAACGAGAGAAGAGCGCGTCTCGTGTGTACGACCTTCGTCATTGCTGGTTCCAGCCACAGAGCCCTTTCTTCAGCATCTTATCTGATTAAGCCTCCGCTCTCTCCTACTACAATCATCTGTAGTGGGCCCCAAAAAGAGGGTGCGCACGTACGAGTAGCTATGATATCGTACGTGATACCAGAACTAAAAGTGAATAGTTTTGAAGATTAACGAACAAAAAATTTAAGATAAAAATACTAAATCAGACAAAAGTGCAAAATTACGAATGGCGGATTGTCTCGCGAAGCGCGCAAGGGAGCAAAACTCCAGCCACTTTTACATATGTGTTTATAGAAACATATATACATACATATATATTCGTACGTTATATTGTTATTAAAGTAGGGCTTTTAACACTACCCCCGATCCCCTTTCCCACCGCCCACATTCCATTGCCCCCTTAACCTTCTCGCAGAATAATTGAAAACTCGGTTATCTCTGTTTTTTAACCCAAAATATAATATTCAAAGTAAGTTTGTGACCTTTTTTACTTTAATTACTTTTTCAACCCATTACGTTTTTATCTACAATAATAGCATATCAGAATAATTATACAACTTCTTGAGCATACATTAAGAACTACATTCAGATACAGTATCGTTAACTACAAAAACGATCTGAACATCATTCTCTCCTGTTTCTATCTGACGATCGTTATAACTGTGACTTTTCCTTGTTCATGGCGATTTCTTAAAGACACTAAGACTGATAACTGAGCAAGGCATAGGTAGTTAAATTGTATATTTATGCGAAGATATGATTCGCGTTATTCGTGGCTAAGCTAAATTTAAAGTAATTTTCTGTTTGAATGTTATCCTCTTTAGTTTTTTTTGTTAATTGGCAAGAAATTCAATTTTTTTGTTTTATTTGAAAAACCGAGTCAGTTTTAATTTGTAAATTCCTTGTTCTTCATTATCAACTCTTCAATAGTCGCCGTTTCTCCACCTCTCTTATTAGTATTTTTGTTGAAAGAGACGTCGGTAAAAACTAAATACACATTTCCATAATACATTACTATTTTCTGTTTGGTATAGTATGCGTACTGCAACGTTAGTTCTTATCCTTTTTTCATATCCATGAATGATACATATTTTTTTTAAGTTACATACAGCTGCCCAATTTCAGTACTTTATACTTATTAAATCTTGTTATGTATTGAAATTAGTGTTTTTTTTTAATTTTTAATGTTTTTCCGTTGAGTCAAACTAAAAATATCAGGAACAATGTTCTTGCTATTTACTAGATATAATAAAACACTGTGCAACTACGTAATAGAATCACATTAAACATTGTCAAAATAATGGATAGTAGTGTCTAATATTCGTTACTTTTAAATACAATAATACTTAGTAACATTGCACTAATTACAAATGATAGAGCCATTACAAAAATCTTCAAAAGAAAAACTTTCACAAATACTAGAATTTCTTATTGACGTTGAAAAAATGTTAACTTTTTTTAATCCAACAATTTATTAAAAGTTAGTTTGATTTTGTAAATTTTATTGTCATATTAAATTGATAAATCTTTACTTTATGTAATTGCATTATATTTAATTGCTATTTCTTTAACCATTTGTCAAAAAATTGCAGCAGCTTATAGAAATAAAAAAAATATATTTGTTGCCATTAATTATACACTTTTATTTTTCTGTCCTCGTGATAGTGTACTATTGTCAGCTCGTAATACTTTTAATTTTTATACTACAGTATATTTTTTGGTTTTCATTTCATACTTCTTCTAGCATTATACAAAATTTTTATACGTTTGTACTTTTCTCAAATATTGTATGACAATGAATTCCTTTTTATTTTAATGCCATTTTCACGTAAATATTTGGCAAATTTTAGAAAATAATTACTTTGTCACCATCGTAGTCAAACAATGCAAATGTTTCAATGCAACCTTGTCTTTTTTATACATGATATTAAAAATTTTCTCTGAATATTGCTATGTAATAAAACAGTTACATTAATATAATAGGATCTTATAACTGAGTGTAATAAGCAAATATACGACTAACTACTTAAGAATTCTATTTGATTGCTTACTTAAGTAACTTGCAGAACATGTTTATAAACTCTATGAAAGTATTTTTTAAAGGAGACAAAGTACTTGTCTAATAAAACAGACTTTATTGCACTAGTCTTAAACTATCATTATTTATTCATGTCGTTAAATAAATATACGTAATTTTTAGCCTTACATGAGATGTTACAAAGAAGAAATATTTGGACCTGTTTTAATTTGCATGGAAGCTAATTCACTAGAAGAAGCTACTGACATAATTAATAAGAATCCTTATGGAAATGGAACAGCTATTTTTACAACAAACGGAGCTAGTGCTCGAACATTCACAGAAATGGTTGAAGTTGGCCAAGTTGGAATCAACGTACCTATTCCAGTACCTCTACCAATGTTTAGTTTTACAGGAAATAAAAAATCTTTTTTTGGAGATAATCACTTCTATGGAAAATATGTAAGTACAACTTTAAATATCTAGAAGAAACTAGATAGTCAAAATTACTGCCACCAAAAGAAACGAAAAAAAACAATGATTATGTCTGTACTTGTGATCTACACAGAATGTACAGTTTAAAAAAAAAATTTCATCATAATTTTAGAAAAAATGTAGTACAAAATTAAATAAGCTTATGTGGTGAAATCAATAATCCTTCACTGATTTTTATCTTAATATTGAGCGCGTCTCGTGTGTACGACCTTCGTCATTGCTGGTTCCAGCCACAGAGCCCTTTCTTCAGCATCTTATCTGATTAAGCCTCCGCTCTCTCCTACTACAATCATCTGTAGTGGGCCCCAAAAAGAGGGTGCGCACGTACGAGTAGCTATGATATCGTACGTGATACCAGAACTAAAAGTGAATAGTTTTGAAGATTAACGAACAAAAAATTTAAGATAAAAATACTAAATCAGACAAAAGTGCAAAATTACGAATGGCGGATTGTCTCGCGAAGCGCGCAAGGGAGCAAAACTCCAGCCACTTTTACATATGTGTTTATAGAAACATATATACATACATATATATTCGTACGTTATATTGTTATTAAAGTAGGGCTTTTAACACTACCCCCGATCCCCTTTCCCACCGCCCACATTCCATTGCCCCCTTAACCTTCTCGCAGAATAATTGAAAACTCGGTTATCTCTGTTTTTTAACCCAAAATATAATATTCAAAGTAAGTTTGTGACCTTTTTTACTTTAATTACTTTTTCAACCCATTACGTTTTTATCTACAATAATAGCATATCAGAATAATTATACAACTTCTTGAGCATACATTAAGAACTACATTCAGATACAGTATCGTTAACTACAAAAACGATCTGAACATCATTCTCTCCTGTTTCTATCTGACGATCGTTATAACTGTGACTTTTCCTTGTTCATGGCGATTTCTTAAAGACACTAAGACTGATAACTGAGCAAGGCATAGGTAGTTAAATTGTATATTTATGCGAAGATATGATTCGCGTTATTCGTGGCTAAGCTAAATTTAAAGTAATTTTCTGTTTGAATGTTATCCTCTTTAGTTTTTTTTGTTAATTGGCAAGAAATTCAATTTTTTTGTTTTATTTGAAAAACCGAGTCAGTTTTAATTTGTAAATTCCTTGTTCTTCATTATCAACTCTTCAATAGTCGCCGTTTCTCCACCTCTCTTATTAGTATTTTTGTTGAAAGAGACGTCGGTAAAAACTAAATACACATTTCCATAATACATTACTATTTTCTGTTTGGTATAGTATGCGTACTGCAACGTTAGTTCTTATCCTTTTTTCATATCCATGAATGATACATATTTTTTTTAAGTTACATACAGCTGCCCAATTTCAGTACTTTATACTTATTAAATCTTGTTATGTATTGAAATTAGTGTTTTTTTTTAATTTTTAATGTTTTTCCGTTGAGTCAAACTAAAAATATCAGGAACAATGTTCTTGCTATTTACTAGATATAATAAAACACTGTGCAACTACGTAATAGAATCACATTAAACATTGTCAAAATAATGGATAGTAGTGTCTAATATTCGTTACTTTTAAATACAATAATACTTAGTAACATTGCACTAATTACAAATGATAGAGCCATTACAAAAATCTTCAAAAGAAAAACTTTCACAAATACTAGAATTTCTTATTGACGTTGAAAAAATGTTAACTTTTTTTAATCCAACAATTTATTAAAAGTTAGTTTGATTTTGTAAATTTTATTGTCATATTAAATTGATAAATCTTTACTTTATGTAATTGCATTATATTTAATTGCTATTTCTTTAACCATTTGTCAAAAAATTGCAGCAGCTTATAGAAATAAAAAAAATATATTTGTTGCCATTAATTATACACTTTTATTTTTCTGTCCTCGTGATAGTGTACTATTGTCAGCTCGTAATACTTTTAATTTTTATACTACAGTATATTTTTTGGTTTTCATTTCATACTTCTTCTAGCATTATACAAAATTTTTATACGTTTGTACTTTTCTCAAATATTGTATGACAATGAATTCCTTTTTATTTTAATGCCATTTTCACGTAAATATTTGGCAAATTTTAGAAAATAATTACTTTGTCACCATCGTAGTCAAACAATGCAAATGTTTCAATGCAACCTTGTCTTTTTTATACATGATATTAAAAATTTTCTCTGAATATTGCTATGTAATAAAACAGTTACATTAATATAATAGGATCTTATAACTGAGTGTAATAAGCAAATATACGACTAACTACTTAAGAATTCTATTTGATTGCTTACTTAAGTAACTTGCAGAACATGTTTATAAACTCTATGAAAGTATTTTTTAAAGGAGACAAAGTACTTGTCTAATAAAACAGACTTTATTGCACTAGTCTTAAACTATCATTATTTATTCATGTCGTTAAATAAATATACGTAATTTTTAGCCTTACATGAGATGTTACAAAGAAGAAATATTTGGACCTGTTTTAATTTGCATGGAAGCTAATTCACTAGAAGAAGCTACTGACATAATTAATAAGAATCCTTATGGAAATGGAACAGCTATTTTTACAACAAACGGAGCTAGTGCTCGAACATTCACAGAAATGGTTGAAGTTGGCCAAGTTGGAATCAACGTACCTATTCCAGTACCTCTACCAATGTTTAGTTTTACAGGAAATAAAAAATCTTTTTTTGGAGATAATCACTTCTATGGAAAATATGTAAGTACAACTTTAAATATCTAGAAGAAACTAGATAGTCAAAATTACTGCCACCAAAAGAAACGAAAAAAAACAATGATTATGTCTGTACTTGTGATCTACACAGAATGTACAGTTTAAAAAAAAAATTTCATCATAATTTTAGAAAAAATGTAGTACAAAATTAAATAAGCTTATGTGGTGAAATCAATAATCCTTCACTGATTTTTATCTTAATATTTCTTGTTTTTTTTTTTTTTTTTTTTTTTTTAAACCCTCCAACATTAATTTTGTACTATCTTGATTTACCTTTGTTAGCTTATATTACTATCAAAACGTTCTATAATTAAAAAAAAAGTCTTACGATCATGATTCTCTTTTGATTAATTCCTCTTTTTACTAAAAGTACACAAAAATTGCTGTCTAGCCTACTATTTTGAATCCGTTTCAACATACAGCGTTTTTGCTGGTTAAAAAAAATAAAGTGTCATTTTACTAGTACCTTTTTTTAGTATTTTATGAAATTTCATCAAACGTCTAATAATCGTTAAATTTTTTACGTTCATTACATAAAAATTATAAACATAATACTTAAAAAAAAAATTCGATCAGTCTGCAGCTACTCACATGGTTTAAGCATGAACTCTGATATTTGCATGGCATATAGGCTGAGCTAGGAACAGCAAGAGTTGACCCTAACAAAGTATCTTACATGATTTATCATATAATACCTCGTAAGAGGTTTTAGCATAACAAATTATATTTGCTATCATGTGAGATCACACATGATTTATCTTATAATTCATAAAAATAAATGAAACTCACAACTACCACAACTTTTTTAACAAATATGTTGCACAACAAATACATGAATTTTCATATTCCATGAATAGGAATACGTTTCACGAACAGGGACATTAACTTTATGCGCAATGAGGAGCAACCATTGTATGGATATATATAAATAGTAGTATATCTTGGCCAAGCTCAGTCTGCTCTCACACGGTTGGGCTGACGCCGAGTTTGGTCCCAAGATAAAAAAAATGCTGAATTGGATCCCAGGCATTTTATCAGACTGCCGAGTTGGGTCCCGAATATCTTATCAGACTGCCGAATTGGGTCCCGTCCATCAAATGGACTTCTAAGTCTAAGAGTTGATCTAATTGATAAACACTACTTTTTTTCATCACACTTTATCCACGCTTTAGATTGGCAGTATAGTACAACCTACTGGTGTGTTTAAAAATGTGTTTGTGTGTTTGTAAATTTCGTCATAAATTGTAAGAATATTTTTTCAACACCCGTCATAAATCGTTTTTTATTTGCTGTTGGGATACAGGTAAAAATTTTGTTGAACGGTAAATTGACGATGAAAATCGTGCCCAAAGTGTCGGGGGCACAGGCGGATCGGGCGCGATATAATTTTCCAATACGTAATCGCAGAATTCTTCCACTTGCTTATTCTTCGACATACTTTTTTTTATTTTTTTCACTGACACAAAACTTGAGAAATATATTATTTTATTCTGTCGCAAGAAAAGTGTAAAGACCAAGTCTACGACTGACAACAACGTTACAAAACTAACAATATAAATAGCGAATACTCGTACCTTAAATTTTACGAGATCTCCTCTATTAAATTAGATAAAATGACACCTAGATAAAAGGCCCAAATACTAACATCCGAGGTGTGAATAAAGTGTAACTGTCGTGTTTAGAAACAAGCTTAATTAGAAACTAATGAGTCAGAAGTTCATTTAATGACCAGGATCCAACTCGGTAGTCTGATAAAATGTCAGGGACCCAACTTGGCTATAAAATGACGTCATACATTTTCCAGGACCCAACTCGGCTATTCCCCACGGTCGAGCAGACACTTTACAACGACACACACTATTAAACAAGTACTACGGATACATTAACATGTGATTGTCCGTGATGCATGCACGAGTTTGACGACTCATCAGGATATTTTATTTCAATATTCGATTCTACTATTGATTTTTCTCCATGTAGGTATAGACTTACCCACCTGATAAATCTCACCTGAGATCTCAGGTGACTATCTCATGCCAAAAACTCACCTGAGATCTCAGGTGAAATTTATCAGGCGGAATTGTTATCCGCTTATCAGTAAGAATAAGCAACAGCTGCATGCGTATGTTTATATGTATGCACGAGTCGGATGAATTATGAATGTAAGAGTATCATATATGTAGTATAGAGACCAGCTCACCGAGCTGCTCACCAGCCAGCAGCAGCAGCAGCACTGTGCCGTATATGTATGGGTACCATTCACAGCCTCTGGAGGTAATACAGAGAGACCACGTGATCATGTCGCAAAATTATGTCAATTTTTGGAAAGTCACTCCTCAAGCCGAGATGCCGAACGTCTTGTAAAAAGTTGCGCTTTAGAAATTTTAAATAGATTAATTTTTTAATTTAAAGTACAATAAGGACTCGCAAACGCGTGTGGAGGGGTGGATTTAAAAAAGAGCACACTTGAAAATTATAGTAACCATTTTCTTTGAGATCGATTCAAATAATATTCGTTCTTACAATAAGAAAATTGTTTATTCGATCAACATTCTTATAAATTGTATTTATCTTAATCATTCACGGAATTAAAAAATGGCTTATACATTTTTGTATTACATTCGAAAAAAATTGAAAAATCATAAACAGTTTCAATTCGCGCAAAAAAAATTTTGATTTTATCTTTACACCTCCTACACAAACTCTGAATAATTTTCTGTAGAGGATGAAATGATTTAAAGTTTTCCCGAACTCTAACTCTCTCCATCTGACAAGTATAGTCATACTAAGGCTAAGTATCAGGACAGCCACGGAGTGTTAGCAATGGGATTGATACGTATCACGAAAAGTCACGTAGGGCTGTAACTGGGTCGGTTCTAGGGCCCTTGGGTGTCTCAAGCACTGTTCAAATGATCGACCCAGGTGCTTCAATCGAGGAATGCTTTCACTATCCCTAGTGCCTCGACTACTTAGGGGTACACCGGTGCCACGCCATCAGCGGTCGAGTACTGAAGATCCAAGTAGACACGAGTAACTGAGACAGTATAACTTTATATCTGCAGGTAGATATCAGTGCTCTATATTAAAGACGTCAACTCAGTTATATACAAATGACTATAGCACTTTGAAACATTTCAAAATTACATCTTATTTTAAAAATTTTAATAACTATTAAGATTTCAAAAAAAATATGAACTATTTCGTAAATAGACGCTACAGCAAGAGAAAAGCGCAACTCAGGTTTTCCCCCCTCGTACCCGNAATCCGGAAAAGAGTATCACGCAAAGTTTATTCGAAAATTTGGAATAAGGCCTCCAGGATTTAAAAAAAGCCTTAGAAATAGTAGACCAGACTGTGCATTATCAGTGTAATATGAACATACATTTTATTCACAAAAAAATTGTGTTATGATGACATTTTCACAAAATGTTGGTTGTCATCAAAGATAATAGTTGATGTTTGGTCATAGCTGAGACTCTAAAATCATTTTTATACGAATTTTCCGATTTTTTAAAACCATATATTAATAATTGTTTAATGCAAATAAATTTTGATAAATTGTTACTAGACATTGGGAAAAAAAATTAAAACATTGAAAATTCTTATACATTCAAATACTAATAACAATTAATATCTGTCATTATTGAAGTCACACAAACTTCTTATAAAATATGCTTATTTCTTAAATAACTTAATTTTGAATCATTTAAATACTATCATATCCATGTACTATATAAAGTATAGATAGTAAAACTTTTAAAGATCAAGATATTACTGACAGTAACATTTATATAAATCTTTTCACTGAAGTTTTAGATAGTACTTTTAAAGGTCTCTTACCCCATAAACTCCATTAAACGGTTGAAGCAATACTTGTAATAATAAGAAAATTAGAATATTCCTTACCAAGCTTTTGTGCATGATTTTATGCAAAAAAAATTTCAAAAATTATTGCAGAATTTTTTGCGAAAAATTATGCATTACTTGTTGCATTTAATACTGCATTATTATATGCATAATTTTCTGCATGTAGTCTTGCATGAATTTCGCGTTGCAAGAAAATCTGCAAGAATTTTTGCAAAAATATATCTAACAAACCCATTTCAATCGACGCGTTATTCTGGGTATCCTTAGCAAATATTCGCACTGTTTCCTCTGATAGGTTCAAAGAGCTTATTTGGAATGACAGATCGCACGCAGGTATTTATCCATACATTGATTACCTAGATCAACTCTTATGATCGCCAGCTTCAGACCAATTAATTTAATGTTTAATTTGTTAAATGCTCGCTACTACTGTACAGTAAAGTGTTCCATGTTAATTACTTTGGTATTTTATTTAAGAATTTTTTTTCATTATGACATGAATATCTCGCAGGGATAACAACTTAGGATTAACAATTTCTATTTTGACGTTATTTAATACAAACAAGTCAGCATACAGTTATACGAAAAATAACTTCGGATACAGGTAGTTTTATTATCATCACCCTTACTACCGTAAAGAAAGCGATTTGTTTTCGTTTTAGCATTTGCTATGACAGTTAATAATCACAAGGAAAAAGTTTTGACAATTGTTGGATTATAAGTAAATTTATATTAGATATGGAAGTAGTGACATCTGTTATGCAGTATGGGTACTGTAAGTGCAATGATGTGTGTGTGTGCTTTGTATATTGCACAGTGAAGTTAGTGAAAAAAAACAGACAGAATATGGCCGTTACCGCGCATGCACGCTCTCGTATAGTATCTTGGAACAATGAGAGGAGATCTTGGTTTTTTAGAATCAGCCGCACCGTGTGGCGCTAAAGTGTAAGGTTGCTTTGGTTGATTCTACTATATTCAAGATCCATACTATATATATATATATTTCGTATAAGTATACAAGTTTTTACACATATTCATGCGTGTGTCTGCGCGTGCGCATGTATACTTATACATAGACTATATTATACTGATCTGCAGGCAGTGGGCGATTACCGGGT